TATTCTTTCCGGAGGATTACAGTCCCTTTCCCACGCTGCCATCTCGCCGTGCGGCTCCTCTGCCCTCTGCGCGGGGTGAGCGGCTGGCTAGGAGGGGCTCCTGCCAATTAGGGTCCACGGAGAGCCCAGCCGGCAAGGGAGAGACTTTCTGCTGGATTTGCTTTGGGATTGTACCGGCTTTGCTGGGAGAGCTGCCGTTCTCACTGGAGGGTCCACCCCAGCCCGAGAGAGGTAAGCACAGACATCTCTCCCCTGTATTTCCTCCCCAGCTATGCGACATCAGTGGGGCTACCCCTCAGGAACCGGCTTCCCCGGGGAGGAGAGTGGGGGCCGGGGGCAGCACCGTCTGCCAGACAACACGGTGCAGAAGTCCCGGTTGAGCGAGGCTGACGGGCAAGCGATCTTCCCGGTAAGGCAGAACGACAGCTGTGCCGCAGAGGCTGCCGGTACTGGTTCCAGTCCAGTTGCAGTGCGGGCAGCTGGGTGCAACTTCTCGCAGCTGTGAATGGCACCAGTGTCTTTCGTTGCAGCACGGGCAGCTGGGGCGCAGCTTTGAGGCTTAAGCGCTTGGTGCTGTGGTCACTGAGTGCCGGGCTGCTCCCAGTGAGCCCTGGATTTTGTCCCCTCCTTGGGGCTGTGAGAGGGGCCAGCATGCGAGGTGCCATTCACCTGACCAGTGCTGGCTTTGCTGGGTATCATTTTGGTCTCAGCTGTCTTAGTAAGAGCAACCTAAAATGGAGACGTGAGGACCAAAATTGAACAGGTCCAGCACTCAATAAACAGCTTTAGGAGGAGGGGGGTGTACATGTGTAAGTGTGTGTGTGTGCACGCATGTACAATTTCATGCACAGAGCTCACCGACATGACCACAGGACATGAAGTGAAGGATGCCATATCACAAGCAGAACCAAAAATAAGTCCCAAATTGCTTCCAGCATCCCTGCAGGCTGAGCCTGTGATTTCCGAACTTTTGGGCGGAAGGCACAGCACAGAGGGTGGGGGTGAAACACAGCACAGAGAAACTTCACAGCCTTTTCCACCAGTGTCTGGGAGGAAAGGGGATGCATGAGGTCCTGTGTGAGCTGACGTGAAGGCGCCTATGGATAGGGGTATATATGTGAGCATTGGTGTGTGTGTATATGTGTGTGCGTATATACACGTGTGCATATATACACATGCACAGGCATGTGCACACATACATCCCACTCAGGGCATTCTACCCCCCTTCTCCCGCTGCCTGCCCAGCTTATTACTGCCACTGCATCTCATGCTAATGAAGACAGACACGTAAAATTGGAGCCCTCCCAGGTTGGGGAGGGAGGATGTTTGGAGCCGCTGCTCCAACCAGGTCATGACTGAGACAGGCCCCAGGCCCATGATGTGGACTGTCAGGTAGCCTGAACGTGCAACAACCAGAGCATCCTCGATGCCAACGGCAGTGAGCAGGGTACAGCACTGCTCTGCTGCCGCTGCCTGATCTGCCACCCAAGGATGGAGGGAGAAATGAAGACCTCATTCGGAGAAGGGCTGGAGCAGCTGCGGTTGCGGGATTTAAAGAAGGAAACCCTTAAAAGACAGGGGAACCCTTAAAGGCACACAGGGACGTGTCACAAAGCAGGGAACATTTCTTGCAGGGAGGAGGAGGGGGTGCCTTTCCAGAATTGCAAACCATTTTTCTTCTGAGCTTTGTCGCTCGGGTCTGCTGGGGGCAGGAGGTGGATCTTCCTCTAACTGCTGTGGGCAAACAACATTTGCAAGGGAATTATTCCACATGAGCAGAAGGCTTGCGGGAGTTGCCTCCCTGTCAGACATCAGTGCAGCCTCTACTAGTGCAGACTCTGTATTCCTCTTGCCCACTTGGAGGAATTACGGTAAATCCTGAGCAAAGGGGCTGTTTGCAAAGAGAAAGGGGGGAAGCCCTCTTATGTAATTTTTATACCAGACCATAGCTTTACCCTTGCATCCAGCAAAGTGAATGCCACACGCTAGCAAGGTGCACTCCCAGCTCAGGTATCTTCATGAGCTACTCCAGCTCCCTGCCCTTCCTCTGGCTTTTCTAAACCTGATGCAGAAAGGATTTTCTAGGCTTTTCAGCGCCACAGAAGCCTGATGAAGGCAGACCTGCGTCTCAGTGCAGCATGGAGGGCCAGCAGCAGCACAGGGACATAAGGATACCTGGACAGGAGCATCCAGGGAGTAGCAGAGGCTGGAACAGGATGGGGGCAGGTTCAAGCCTGTGGGATGGCATTTCTGGGCAGTTCCTTGGTGACTTTTCAGCACTTGCCTGTTGCTGATTCAAAAGAGAGACCAAGCAGTTTCCTTCACTTGCCATGTTTGGTTAGAAGCAGCTGCTTACACCACTTGACATCTGTCCCAGCCCTGGGTGGCTCAAGCCGTAGTTCAAATGACCATACTGGGATGCTCCTGCCAGCTGGGTAATGCTCCAGAGTGCTACACCATGACACACACTCCAGTTCTCAGTGGGAAGGAGCTGGAGTTGGAGTCCTGGGCTGTTTCTGTCCCTACTGCATGGAAATACCTTGTAACACATACCTTATTCCTGTCGTGGCTTTACCAAAATGCTGGCTCCCAAAAATGCTTTGTGTGTCTGAGGGCATCCTAAGAGCAAGAAGAAATTTTTTTTCCATAAACCAGTTCAATTCCAGGCCGGTGAGATGGAAGGAAAAGTTGCTTCACCTGCGAAGGGTGGGACTATGTGAAATACGGTTTCATTTACACTGCAAACCCAAGCAGTTGGAAGTTAGGACATGTCAGGATTCGGGGCAGGCTGCCATCTGCACTGGGTTGCAGTCCTGACTGGTAGCATCACACGCGGTATTTTCATAAGCCGCCTCATTCAGGGCGCTGGCTACGCGGTGCTCAGGGAGTGAAGCAGAGGGCTGTTGTTTTTTTTTTGGTAAGGCAAAGCGTGTGCCTGTTTTATTTGTTTACTGCCTGCCATCCAAGTCCTGCAGGCAATACATCATTATTCATTGTCATGTGGTGTTCTGAAGATGTTCACTGCTACAGTTGCCTCGTAGCTGATGATAGAGAATTTATGCTCCTGATGAGGCAAAAGAGAGTGGCTCTCTTCCTTGCTTTTGAAGGGAAAGCAGACTTCCCCTTTAGCCACACGGGGAAGGAGCAGCAGGTGTAGGACCAGAGCTTGGGGCCTCTTGGCTCTCGGTGCCATTGAGTCCTCAAGAATGTACCGGTCTGCTGGCTAAGCTGCCAGCATTTTGGAAAACAGCTGTGAGTGCTCAGCAGTTCTGCAAAATGGCCCCTAGGGTCTCGTGTTGGGCACCCGCAAAATTAGGAATGTACAGACTGTGGCTACCTGCCAAAACTGCGGTTTAATATTTAATGCTGACCATATAAAAATAGCCTTATTTATTTACAACATTCTCATTGTTAGCTTGAGTATCATCTGTCCTTTGCACTGAGTATGGGATGGGGTCCTGTGAAAAAAAGAAATAGCGCTTGCTTGGATAAGCAAAGGTTGTGTTGTAATGCATAGATGCAAGTGGCTGAATTAAGGTTGTGCAGGTATTAACTCACATTTAAGTGCTTGGCTTTGCAAGCCAAATGGCATATTTTGTCATATGGCAATTTTTTTAAGAAATGAAAATGACACTTTCTTGATTCTTTTTTTATGAATGGGAGAACAAGAGACTTTCCATTATTTATACACTGCAACTCCTCACATCCACCACAGGAAGGACTGAGACCTAAATTTACAGCAGGGCCATAGAAGTCTGAACTTCACGCCTGCCTCTGAGTAAAGGATGTTACTTTAAAGACAGACCCTGCTACCATGCTCCTCCTTGCTCCAAGGGGGCTGGGAAGCTCGTAAGCTTCTTTCCCCATGGACCATGCCCTCACACGAGGAAAAAAAAGTAGGACCACATCCTGATTCTGGAGAGGAGCTGTTAGAGGCAACTTGACTTAGCACTCATCACTTGGTCTCTCTTTCCACTCCTGGTGAGGCTCTCTGCTGCCGGTTCTCCCCAAAGCAGGGCATGCTGCTGCTGCTGCGATTTTGCTGCAAGGTGCCTTGTGTGGGGGCAGAGGAGCTGAAGGTGGGCCCTGCTCTCCACACTACTTGCATTTAGTGATTTCGATGGGATGTGAATGTTGCCATGCCCGTATCTCTTCTGTGGCCGCCAACCCAAAACTAAAGTCATACCAGATTTGAAGAGCTTCCCCAGCCTCAGCAAACTCTGCAGCATGGGGCTGTGATGTGTGTGCTAACCCAGATGCATCCAAGATCCTGGCTGAAGCTCTGGGTTGTGAGAACTGTCACCACATCTTGTTGAGCTATGGGCAATGTTCCCAGCTTGTAAAGAGTATAAGCATGTCTCAGAGATCTCCAGGCACCCCTGGAGCTGCAGGCAGCAGCCTGGACCCCATGCAGTTTGTGTTGATTTTGCAGGGATGCCCCTCTTGGATGCTCTGGGAAGGTGATGGGGGGCGATGGGGAAGGGGAAGAAGAGCTCCAGGCTGTCTCTAGCAGGCAGCACTGCTGACCTCGTGCCACAGCGGCGACCAAGTGAAACAGATCTATGCAACCCAGGCAGAAAAAGGTCCCCTTCAGAGTTCAGTATAAATGCATCGTGTGGGAACAATAAGAGTCAGCCTTTCCTTGGGAGGTTTGCCAGGAGCTGTGTGCGTGCTGGGCCACCGATCTCCTGACGATAGGAGCATAGAGGATTTTTACTGCTGTGGCATGTTGTGCTCTGCCCCACCGCTGTGCACGCATGGATGATCCCTGCCCCTGTGAAGCCCCACTGAGGCACAGGCTTGCGAGGTGAGACATTGGTGAAGTTCTTCCCTCGTCCCACCGTGTTTTCTACCTCCTCTCTCTCCTCCTTGCTCCAGCTGCCAAAGGAGCAAGCAAGGGGTCTGATTCTGAGAGGCCAGCAGCCAGGGAAGCACAGCCAAGGCGCTGGGTGAGAAAGAGGGGGAGAGACTCACTCAGCAGCTTAGAGGTAGCAGCACTTCTCCATCACATTGGCTTCTCCACCAGAAGCAAAAGCAACGAGTCAAGCAGTAGGAAGGTTAGTGAGCCTGAGGTCCTGGCGTATTTCAGACTACAGGCTATAAAAAAAGGCAAAACCGTTTCCTAGGCTAATGCAAACACGAATGGCGGCAAATAACCACGTGTGGGACACTTTGTATTCCTGGGATCACCTAAGCTTGCGGAAGCTCACCTGACTCTAGGAATGAGGAAG